ACCTACGAGGTCGGGGAAGAGAAAACTGACTTTACCTTTCTTTGCTGTTTAAATTTTGATTTTTCCCTATGACTACTACTTCTATACTTTAAAAAAAGGAATTCAATCTTATAAAAATGAAGGAAGGAATTCATTCTTCTAGCGTTAAGACACTTGGCCAGAGCCGCAGAAGCCATGCTCTTTACCACCCTCTGCCGCGCGGTACGTGTGACTGTGAGAGAAGAAGACGCATTCCTGTCTGCCAAGCCTCTGGTTCACCTCCCAGGGAACCCCCGCGGCCTTCTGTGTCTGAGGTGGATCCCACAGCCTCTCTTCCATGTCCCATGGTCAGAAGAGCATCCTCTGAGACTCAGCTGCTGTGCTGAGCAGAAACAGACAAGCTCTGAGCGTGATGTAGCGTAGGAGAAAGTTCCCTGAATCAACTTTCGGAAGAAAGTCCATCCCTGAAAACCTCCCCCTGTCATGGTATGTGTGAGTGTGTAAGGGAGGGGAAGAGATTTTTAAAAGCCATAGCTAGGAAGCGTGGACACACAGTAAGCTAACGCCTGCTCCCACTGCAGCACACAGAGGATCCTCAGGAACGCTGGGCAGGGGACACAGAGACAGTGCCCTGTGCCGCCCATGGGGGGAACCTGAGCAGAGAGGGCCCAGAGGAAAGGGAGCCTGTCAGCCTGGGCTCGACTTCAAGTGTGAGCCCCCAGTCAGGGCAACGACTTCTTCCCTTAGTTCCTGAACCCTGGCCAATTAGCTGCTAATTAGTTTGTGTATAAATTCCAGCAGGAAAGCTGGAAAATTCTATCTCAACTTCAGCAATGAGGTTCCTCCTGCAAAATTTGGTCTTGCCGATCTCCCAGATAAACCCCCGCACCACCCAAAATACGGTCTCCACCTGGGCTTCGGAACAGCCAGAGACGAATATGCAGACACACATACCATCTAGCCCGTGTGCTGGAAGCTTCAAACAAAGCAGCATGGGAAAGAGAGATCACATGGTCCTCATTCATCTATGAATCGAGAGAGATAAAGGAAGGGGGGCCGTTCAGGGGCAAAGAAAAAAAAAAAACTGTGTGTGTGTTCTGCAGATGCTTCCAACACAGACTTTCAAAAGTGCACATGTGTGAGGTAGCAACCCACTAGACTGGAAGGCTCTGGAGCATTAGAGACTAGAACAAGTATTTAGTGCACACCTCCTACAAGCAGGGTACCATCCTAGGCCAGCCAGGTAAGCACGCTTGCATGGAGTTCTCAATCACAGAATAGGTATCTTAAGTGAAAATACGAGGTTGGCAAAGGGAACCAGCCTGATCCAGAGAGCTGCTGTCGCTCAGGGAAGGCATGACCCCCACGGCAGGCTGGGTGGTCAGGGGAGGCCTCCCAGAGCCGGGGCATCTGACACAGTTTTGAGGGCAGAACGGAATTTTTCTAGACCCGTGGTCTCCGAATCACCTGAGGAATGTTTTAAGAAAGTACAGATTCCTGAACCCCATACCAGACCTACTGAATCAAAGGCTCTAGGAATGGTACCCTGGAATTGCTATTCTTTAAAAAAAAAAAAAAAAAAAGATTATTTACGACAAATTCAAAACATACAAAAAGCAGACAGAATAGTGAACCCCCGTGTACCCATCACCCAGCTTCAGCGATCACCAACTCATGGCCACTCTTTCCTCACCTATATCCTTATCTAGTCCCCTTGTCCAGTATTCTGGAATCTACCTATTTTTTAAACCAGGGACTCTAAGGCAGTCAGACCATAGATGTGACCTGGAAGCCACTCACTGATCAAGACACAGATTAGGAGCAAGGGAATTCCAGGGACAGTGGAGACAAAGACTATTAGAAATGAAAGAGAAGGGTATTTGGGGGAGAATGGCCTAATTTGGAGGGCCTTGAGGGTGGGATACACGGTTGGGGGAAGGGGGATAAGGATCAAAAGATCGTTGGGGTCCACGAGGGCCCTGTCAGCATGCATGGTGTCTTTGTGAGAAACACAAAAAGGCATCTCCTCTGGGTAGAAAAAGCACCCCTTTCTGTGCTTTATCTTATGAGGGTTGAAGGATGCTAAGAGGGGGATCCTGTGACAATCAGCCTGTGCTTTGAAAGAACACTGGGCAGCGATGGAGAGGGAGGTAGACAGACAGAAGGGCAGAAAACCGAGAGGCAGTGAGTGAGTCACGTCAAGAAATTCTTGCAAACTAGCCAGGGAAGAAGGAAGAAGGCCTTGGAGGTTGTCTTGAAAGAGAGAGATCTTGTGCGGGGTTCTGGAGAGAGGGATATGGAAGTCACGGGCACACGGGTGTCATTTGGAGGCATGCAAATGCTGAAATTGCTCAGGAGGAGTAGTTGGGGATGAAGGCCGTGGGAAAACGCAGCATTTAGAAGATGGGGGTGAAGGGGAGAAGGACCAGGCCAGGTGATATAGAGATTGAAGCGAAATGGTCAAGGAGATGGGAAGGAGAGAAAGAGAGGGGGCATGTATGGCTCATAGAAGTCAACAGAACAAAAGTGTTCTCAGGTGTGATAAGAGGGAAGCATTCAACGAGGGAAGTAGAAAGGAGAAGAAACCAGACATGTAAGCAAAAGTCAAGCTTTGGAGTACCTGGAATGACTAGTAAAGTGTGGACTTGGATTTGATGAGCCCCATGGCAAATGTCATGATGTGTAGCGCGAGCTTACTGATCAGTTACGCTTCCTAAGTCTGTCACTTACGGCCTGGGGCAGATTATTTAAGGGAAGTCTCTGAATCCCTGCTGGTAAACTGGGGATGATTATACCCACTCTAATAGGGAGGGGATGGGGATGGCATATCAATGAATGACAATTCTTCTTGTCCCTGGCACCTAACAGAGCACTGCCTTGTAGTACGGGTGATCTTTTCACATATCTAACCCCGGTATCTCTAACTAGCCTGCAACCAGTTTGGGGGGCAGACATTAGGGTTTTAAACTAATTGAAGCCAATGGTCACTTGTTGAACATTTACTACGTGCAAGATAAGAAGAGGATGTAAAATAAGAAGATCAAAGGGTTAAAAAGAAGCAGCCATGGCCCTAAAGGAGAGGGTGGGACTTAGTGAAGGACCCACATGGATGCCCGACCCCAACACAAGGTGAAGAGTGGCAGGTGCAGCAATTAGTTTCAACTTGCAATTCATTCCCAAATTGCAAATAAATAAATAATGTGTGGTGGATGGAGAGACTTGCTCTGGTTGGTGGGACCCGGCTTCGAGCCGGCAGGCAGTATTGCATGAGGCTTCTGGGCTGGACAGAGGAGGTGGAGAGGAGAGCAGAAAAATGAGGAAGTTGGGAATTGGCAGGTGAGTTTGAGGAAAGCTAAGAACCTCGGTAGGTTCAAAACAAGAGATCATGGGAAGTGAGGGGAGAAAGACGTTCTGGGCTGTAGTAGACATAACCTAAGGTGACCCCCAAGGTGTCACACTCTGGTATAATCTCATACCCCCTCCCCTTGTATACGGTGGTGAAACTGTGACTTACCTCCAACCAAAACAACGTGGAAAAGGGATGCGATATCACTACTGAGATTATATGACATTAGAGGGCAAGGGCCAAGGGATTTGCATGTATAATTAAAGTCCCTAAGTCATTTGACTTTGAGTTAGACAAAAGAGAGATTAGCCTGGCTGCGCCCAATCTAATCAAATGATCTGTTTCAAAGAGGGTCCAGGTCTCCCTGAAGTTAGAGGCTCAAAGCAGGAAAGACTTTCTCTCCTGCTGGCCTTGAGGAAGCCATGTGAATGCTCCAGCTGCAAGGAAATGAATTCTGCCCGCAACCATGTAAGCCCGGAAGAGGAGCCCAAACTTCAGATAAGAATACAGTCTGGCTGACACCTTGATCACAGCAGAGAAACCCAGGTGTGCCTTGCCTGGACTCCTGCCCCGTGGAAACTGTGAGATAATCAATGGGTGCTGCTTTAAGCCACTGCGTTTGTGGTGATTTGTTATGCAGTAACAGGAAACAGATACATGGACTCCTGTCGTGGAGGGCCATGAAAGCAGGCTAAAAAGTATGGGCTTTGTTATGCAGGCCATAGGGAGCCACTGACTATTTCTGAGCAGAGGGACTTTAGGGAGCTGGTGAGGGTTGGTCAGAACCCCTTGGAGAACATTTAGTCAGGGCATTGCTCTCGGGAGCAGGTCAGTGAAGTTCTGGTGAGGGATTAGTTCTGGGTTGAACCAAGCCAGCTATTCTTCTACCCAATTTAAAAAAAAAAAAAAAAAAAAGGAGGAAGCAAAATCTGAGTAAAGAAATTGACAGTCATTGAAAAAACCTTAAGGAACTTTAGTGTCCTTGTTGCTAATTATAAATATTTACTCCTCCCAGAATTCCTGACCTCACAGAAGAGCCTGCGTAGTCTCGCTGTCTTACTGGAAAATTTCTGTGTGTGTGTGTTCATTCTATGTTTTCTTGGAAGGGGGACAAGGCAGTAATAAGGGACTGGATGATCTGCAGAGAGTCACTTCCTGTTGGATATTGTCTAGTTCCCCTCCCTCCTCCCCCCCAAGATCATAAACCCTGAGACCCGCAAGGAACTCCTCCTTCTCCGATTCTATCTGCTGGAGACAACTAAGCCAAACAAACGCAGGAAGTGGCAAGAGGTTGGGAAGGGGAGGAAGTTCATGGCACAGAAGGAAAAAGTAAAGAGAATGCCCTGATGTTCAAGGAAGAGGGTAGGGGGTGGGGCAGAGAGAAATGAAGGTCACCCCAAGGTTACTTGGCGCCGAGCCTTTAAAATGTCGTGCTTAAGCTTTCAATCAAAACTGGCACAAACAGTGGGTCAGATCTCCCGGGGCCATTCAAATATTAACATTCACAGTGATAAACAGCCCCCAAAAAAAGCCCTCTGTAAGCAAATTGGAACAAACAGCTAATCTAAAGCGGGTTGCTAAGAGACCAGTGGGGCAGGAGCCAAGTCAGTCCAAGCATCCGGAAAGCTCTTTATTTTTTTCGCTTTTGGGGATGAGAGGAGGAGAGGAGAGGTACCTGTAGATGACTCCATGTTGGTGGAGGAACATGAGGGCTGACGTAACCTCTGCAGCATAGAACCGGGAACGAGGCTCGTCGAATTTTCGGGACCGCTGAATCTGGAACATGAGGTCTCCACCATTTACATACTCCATGACGAAAAAGAGGCGGTCCTGAAAGGAGAGGAGGAAATGCCATTTAGCGAATTCCGCTGCAGCTGCCCACACAGGCCAGCAAGCGTACTGTGAGTCCAAAGTAACAGAACCGGGACTCAAGGACCCTAGTAGCACACGTTCCGGAGAGAAGATGAAGGAGTTAGGGTACGAAGTGTTATTCTAAAATCTGTCTGTCTTACTTTTAGAGGCGTCAGCTTGGTCTAGTGGGAGAAGCCCAAAATTGACAGAAAGGAGATCTGGGTCTCTGTCTAATTCCTGTTATGACCTTGAAGTGTGACCTTGGACAAGTCTCTGTCCCTTTGCAGGCCCCAGTTACCTTGGTATGTGTGGTGGGTTACATCATGCCCCCCACCCCCGCAAAGGTATCCATCCATGTCCTAATCCCTTAATGTGTGAATGTTACCTTAGATGGCAACAAAGGACTTTACAGTCGTGATTAAGTTAAGGATCTTGAGTTGGGGAAATTATTTTGCATCACCAGAGTGGACCCTAAAGGCAGTCACAAACGTCCTTATAAGAGGGAGGCAGAGGCGATTTGAGAAGGGAGGAGAAGGCAACGTGACCAGGGAGGTGGAGGTTAGAGTGATGCGGCCACAAGCCAAGGAAGGCGGTGCCACCAGAAGCTGGAAGAGGCAGAGAAGGATCTCTCCTAGAGCCTCTGGAGGGAGCATGGCCTGGCCGACACTTTGACTTCAGCCCAGGGACACTGGTCTCAGACGTCTGGCCTCCAGAACTGTGAGAGAACAGATTTCTATTATTTTAAACCACCAAGTTTGTGGTGATTTGCTACGGCAGTCCTAGGAAACTAACACAAAGCAACATGGACTAATGAGATGGTGAGAGCCCCTCCCATGAGGGTCACGGTCTCACTCTGGAGGATGCTCCTTTTGGGGTTCCCACCCTGGCGTGCTTCCTATGGATTCTCTCCTCAAGAAGGGCCAAACCACAGTCATCCCTCATTAGGGGTGGTGCCTTCTCATCTGCCCACCATTTGGAGGTGGGAAGAAGATGGACCGAAATTCACTTTTGCACAGTTTCTTGCCTACAGTTTGTGGAGCCCGTAGAGTGTGGGGTGCTGTGCTAGACAGGAGGCAAAGAGTTATAAACCATCACTGTCCTGAGGCGGCCGTGGCGGGGGGTGGGGTTATGATCCAGGGGCAGAGATGGGAAATAGGTAGAATGATGAAAACAAAACAGGAGAAGAGTGCCTTAAAGACACTGGGTGCTGAAAGGATTAGGAGAAAGGGGAGCTCTCTGAAGTGGTGGGGTCCATGGAGGATTCTAGAAGGAGCTAGGCCCTCACTTAGAGGAGGAGGAGGTGCGGGAGGTGTCAACAAATACCAGGACATGGGAACAGAGAAGGCTTGGGGACCGGTAAACTGACTATGTCAGCAGGGGAGGAACGTTCATGGAGCAAAGGGGAAACAGCGAGGTGAGAGGCCAGAGGGTCAGAGTACATTCTTAACATACAGATACAGTCTCAGTGGAGCTGCCAGGAGGATGTCAGCATATTGTTTTCAACCAGAATTAGGAGAATCATTTCCATGAAGACTGAGTAAAAATCACAGTGACACTTTATTCAGGGAGCAGCCTGGACGGCATATCTACTTTATAATTGGCATCTCTTTGAAAATAAGTCCATCCTTAAGAATTGTTATGAATTCAGACTACCTTCTCCCCCCACCACAACCTCCAGAATTATTCAAGCTTTACTGGTATTCACCAAGGCCCTAAGGTCTAGCTTCTCTTCCATTTGTCTTGACCCTCCCCTTCAAAGCCTGCCTTGTTTTCTCCCCCAAGTACAATTTTGTACTCAGAAGTATTCAGAAGCCAACCATTCATTTAATCACCTAGTCCCCATTCAAATCCTTATTTCAAAAATCAAATGATCAGGCCAACCCCATTCCAACGAAACCAGAATTTCTGAGGATGGGACTCAGGCATCAGTAGTTTTCAAAGGCCCTCCTGTGATTCCAGTGGGCAGCCAGGGTAGAGAACCACTCTTCCATCTGGTTTCTGCCAAGGTGAGATATATGGATTATAAGTTATCGGAGTCTTCCTCTTTTATCTTTTCAAGGATCTCCCAAGAACACAGGTTCTCAAACTTGTGCAGCAGAATCTGACAGAGGCTTGTTAGAACATGGATTCCTCCCCCTCTCCTCCCTCCCCGCAGAGTTTCTGATTCAGAAGATCTGGGTTGGAGCCTGAGACTCTGCATCTCTTAGTTCCCAGGTGATGTTATGCTGCCGGCCAGGGACCCCCACTTTGAGAACCACTGCCCTAGAGCACTTGGGGCAAGGCTTTCCCATGGCAAGAACAGCTGCGTCATGCATTCAACACTGCCCTAATCTAGCTGAACCGTCAGAAACAGCTGCTACAATGCCAGTCCATGGTCACCAACTTGGACTTGGGCTTTAGCAACAATGGAGTATTTCCTTGCCTGTGTCTGAAAGAATCCAAATTTCTAAAGAGGAAAAATCTCCCCTCCCCATCCTGCCTCCCTGGCTGCTTTTTTTTTTTTTTGCGTTACGCGGCCTCTCACTGTTGTGGCCTCTCCCGTTGTGGAGCGCAGGCTCCGGACACGCAGGCTCAGCGGCCATGGCTCACGGGCCCAGCCGCTCCGCGGCATGTGGGATCTTCCCAGACCGGGGCACGAACCTGTGTCACCTGCATCGGCAGGCGGACTCCCAACCACTGCGCCACTAGGGAAGCCCTCCCCCGGCTGCTTTTTATACTCCAACACCGGACACACGGCATTTGAGGATAGGGGCCGTGGAGGGAGAAAGAAGAGCTCCCACGCTGATTTCATCACTTACTGGCTGTGTGACCTCAGGCAAATGACTTCAGCCCTCTGTGCTCAGTTTTCTCATCTGTGGAAATGAGGATGATAATAGGACCCACCTTACAAAGTTCTTATGAGGATTAAATTACATATTAAAGTGCCTGGCTCGTAACTGTTCCTCCATTAAGACTGTCTGTTACTATTGTTACTACAGTATTCTAGCTAGAGGCATGACAGTTAATGCGGTCATTATCGAGTCTGCATTTTCCCTGTCCTTTCAGCAGTATTTTCCCCTGATCACCTCCTCTCCCAATAAAGCTTTCAGCTGGTTCTTCCCTGTGACTGTGGCAGGTTTTGTTCTGCCTTCTCTTGTAGGCTTCTCCTCTCTCCAGCCTAACTTAAAGTTAGGTGTTGGAATCCCACAAGGCAGTGTTCTAGGCACCCCCCCTTTCCGTACTCGCTGAGTGATCTCATCCACACCCACAGTGGCTACTGCACCTTGACACCTATGGCTCGCAAACGTCTCCCTCCATCCTAGACCTCTCCCCCAATCTGTGGACCCATTTACCCAGCTGCGTTTCTGACAACTCCCTCTGATGCCTCAAAGGCACTCAAACCCAACATGTTCAAAACTGCTTCATAATCTTCCCCCAGCAAACTGGGCCTCGTCCAGGGTGCCTGTCTCAGGGCAGGGCTTAACCAACCAGCCGAGTGTATAAATCAGAAACCTGAAAGTCATTCTCAATACCTCCCCTCCTCTCCTTTATCCCTCATATCCATCACCAAGCCCTACTGCTTTTACCTTTTGTACCTTTGCACTTATTACTTCTGTACCTGTTACATTTGCCTTTCTGTTGTCACCACCATCATGGCCACCATTCTCGCCCAAGCAGTTATCATCTCTTGTCGAGATTCTTACAAGTGCCTCTTACTGACACTCCCTACGTTGATTCCAGCTCCCCCCAACCTGCCCTACCAAACGCTCATCACACTATGGACAGAGTTACCCTGCTGAAATGAAAATCTGATTACAATGCATCCCCCCTTCCTTCCCTCATTCTACTGACTCTTTCAAACGTTTCCTGATACTCTTGGAATAAATAGAAGACTCCCTAACATGCCTCGTGGCCTGTGTGATCTGGCCCTACCTAATTCTTCTGAGTAAGAAGCGCTTTCAGCTGTTCCCTGTTCCCTCCACCCCGACAGCAAACTCCCTCCTGCCACAGGGCCTTTGCTCATGCTGCTCCCTCTGCTTGGCACGTTTTCCCCTCTCCTTTCACCTAATTAATCCCTCCTTGTCCTTGTCCTTCAGATTTCAGTGCAACCATCTTTTCTTCTAGGAAGCTGTCCCTAACTTTTCTGACCAGGTCAAATCCCCCTATTACATGCGACACTCTCCAGTGGGTCTTTGATTTGTGTCACTGATTTATGTCTTTCTCCGCCAGTAGTCTGTATACTTCATGAGGGCGGGAACTATTGGTAATTCTGCCCTGCTGGTTTTTAAGGGAATTAGTCTAACCCCAAAGAAAAGCGGCTATAATTCCCTTTAAAAACAAGCATCATGTGGGGAGAAGAACTAAAAAAGTTTAGGGGGCTCTAAGAGAGAAACAAAACCAAAGGGTGCTCTGATATTTGTATCTGCAATTTCTTACTGCTTAGGGAGTTAAAGGCTTCAAGACAAGTCAGCCTGCTGCACTAGACCTCCTGCCTGCAGAATGTGCCCAGGAGTGCCCACTCTGACCATTTCCCCCTCAGGGGGTCTGTCTGTATCAGCACCCAATATTTGGTATAGCTTTGAACAGTTCTTTGGGTCCGTGGACAGACGTCTTCACCTCCCCGTGAGATGGTCAGTTCCCTGAGGAACATACCTTATACTTCCCAGCAATCACCATCACCACTACCAGCTCAGAGGCGCTCAATAAAAATCTGCTCATCCAACATTCACTCCACGTTAGCATCTTGAGGGAGGGACTCTCATTGGTTTAGTTCCTCATTGTACCCCCAGCGACTAGAATGGAGCCTGGCACAGAGTGGGTTCCTAGTGTGTCTTTGTTGAAAGCATGAGGTCTTAGATACCCACCGCAGATGAGGCCCTGGTTGCTGGAAATTCAACAGTAAACCAGAGTTGGTTTCCCCATGTTACTTCTATTGTTAACCGCGTTTCGAGTTATTCTAACTTCAGCCCATCTGAACTTCAGTTTTAACTTGGTTTTCT